GTATCCTGCGACACACTTAGGCTCAAGCTGTAAGAGAAAATTCCAATTAGTAAAGAAATTAATTTGAAAAATTACCTTGACGTTTCGATAGCTATTTTCTGCTATCGTTATCAAAAGAACCTAAATGAACCTAAAAAAGAGTATGTTAATAAATTGTGTAACAATAGTAGGATAATACAGTATATGAAAATTCGCTCTGATAATTCATCTGTGCAAATTGTCAGTTATAAAATAGGAGCACTATTTATCAATCTGTAATAAAAGACGTGAGGAAATTCTGTTTTTTAAAGACAAAAATTTTTGAGGCGAAAAACCAAAAAGAAGTTTGTAAAAAAATAAAAATACTGTTTGCGTGAGCAAAGCGAAAGTCTTAATTCGACTGCAAAAAGCCAACATCTCCAGACCAATAACGCAAACATTTAATCAACGAGTATCTGACCCATGAATATATGTCTCATTCGTTCGGTCAATTATGAGTATTTACAAGAATAACTTGGTTTAATAAAAAAAAACCTTTAATAGTTTAGTGAAACTTGTTGGGGAAGAATTCTTGGACTTATCATGTATTATTCTTTCTGTGTTTTTCTGCGATATTTGGACTAGAGTGACTTCAGTAGTGCAACGTTCAATAAATCCGGTAAACTCCGTGAAATGTTCGTATATACGATATTGCTACATACTTCATTTTTCTGTTAGGTATTTGACCTGTCACATGTTATCACCCTTATTTTTATCAAAAAATTACATAAACAAGTAAAGAATTTAGCGTAAAAATAAATTTCGTTCTATATGCGTCTGCTCCTCTCCGAGTAAATAATACATTATAAGTAGTCAACATGTGATAATTGGAAGTTTTCGCTTATACCCAAGAACTTATTACTTTCTATTGCAGCAAACATCGATGTCTGATTTTGTTTAACTGTTAATAGGAAAACTAAAGGTTGCAACCCAAATCAAATTCGGATGGTAAATAAAGCAAAACATCGTAGTAGTGAACTTGTCACTTGATTAACTCTATGTGTGGACCTGTTTGAAACATGCCTACATGTGGTGCCGTGCCCCAAATACCAAAATTGATAATCTATTAAAATTTGAAATACCAACGTCAATAAAACATACCTTAACATTTCTAGAAACTCATCAAGTAAAACGATTAGAAACCACCTCAAAATTGAACTGTGAAGCAACGTGTCAACACTTATTGTGTTCAATCAAAACACAGTCAAACACTACAAATGAACCGAATGACGTAACCTTGAATTGCACCCCAGCTGTCCCCTTGCGTAACGTTAAACCAGCCAGAAAAATCACCGGATTAATATTCCTGTTCTGGAATAAATACCGGAGCGAACTGTGAGGCTCCGTGTTGTCGTCATCGTTTCTCAACTCCGGGATCTGCTGGCCTGCGCAATCAGATCGATCTAATACTGGACCAACCTGGCCTCTTGCGTATAAAGCAGGCTCTCAACCATAAAGGTACAAGTAATTTATTGTCATCAACAGATCAAAAATTAGTTCTTAGTTTTTATACCACTCTCTCGTATTTTCACAACTAATAATGAAGGACTGGTTAAGAAAATGCATGTTAAAATATAAAATAAAATAATATCAAGGGTAGTCCTTTTTGGAGCTACCGGAAGTAGGTATGAACTTGCTCATTTTGAACGCAAACAGTTTTGTTTATATTTGAAATTTTATGTTAAAAATGACAGTTGCAGCCACTAGAATAATTATAAATTTTTCGTATAAGGAAATGTGCTACTTAATTTGAGTCGCATTTCTTGTTGAAAAGTACTTACTCTAATGGAATTTCGACAACATGTCAATAACTATTAATAAAATGTTATAAAAAAAGTTCGAATCCGTCGCGAACAGATATACGGGGTGTCAATTTGAAAACTTCCCACCCTTAATATCTTCCTTGTAGTCGAAAATATGGAAAATCGGGGACACATCAATTTTATTTGTAAGGGGGACTGTTTGAGTGAATAGTTTTAGCTTTGTTGTTTCAACCCCATAGGAGGAGTAACTCTTAGAATCTAAAATGGGAATGGGGATCAAGTGGCACAGCGTTTTAGAGAGCGTTCAATTATCTTTTCAGTTGCATCCTACTTTGTTGCTTTTAGTCCAGAGGTTTCCGAATAATCGCGCTTCAAAGTTGCAGAAATAATTAAACATGTTAATGTTGACACAAAAATTATTGCATTGGGTCTAGGGATGATTCGATACAAGTAAATACAAGTAGGTATTCGATACTTTTGTTTCGATACCGAATACTTTGGTAATTGATTCGTTCTTTCGAAACAAATACTTGGTATCGAAATAAAGTACTCGTATCGAATCGAATTATCAAAAGTGTAAACACTGCCCAAAGTCACAGAACATATATTTATGAAGATATAGGATATTTTGTGAAGTCTATTGAAGAACTTGAGTTGGATATCGCACAGCCATCAACATCTAGCGGTTCTAAATTAGAAAACATGTTGGAAGGAAAAAGTTTTTTTGATGCTAGTACGGATAGTAACATACCACCACAAAGGACTTTAGAAGACGCATTTTTACAAGTTTCGGCCAATAAAGAAAACAAATTATTTCTAGTACTTTTTCTTTATTGAATATAATAGATATATCTATTTTGGAGGGAGGTTCAAAATACAACAAAATAGTGCAAGCTTTAGCGTTTCTTGTTTGCAATTATGGCATTCCTACATTGTGGAAGGAGAACATACTTAGTGCATCTTATTTAACTTATTTAAAGAAGATGACCCACAAAAAATATGAAGCTTGTGTAGCTATAGCTAAAGCTAAATTTTGTCAAAGATTAACAATATTTGTCTCAGAGTGGACATTTGGACTGAAACAATGAACGACCGAGGTTTCTTAGGTGTGACATGTCATTTTCTTCAAAATAGTAAAATGCATATGCTCTATCTAGCTATTCGTACGCTCAATGAAATATTTGCCCTGTTTGGCTGACACAATAAATCACATCGTTGAAGAGGCTTTAAAATGACCAAGTGTGAAAACAGCTCAATCTAAGGTTCGTATAATTGTGCGTTGAATAAAAAAGATACGTATTAATAGTTCTGAATAGTCAGTTTTAAAACTTATTGCCGACATCAAAACAATATGGAACTGAATAATATCTTTGAAAAGTGACCCATTGGGAGACATGCAAACGGTATTTCCTAACTTTTATAAGTGTGGTAATATATATTTACTAAAACTGGTGCTGCTATGACGCACAATAGAAAAAGCTTGTCCCCTAAATATTTGCAGCAACTGATTTTTTGGGAAACCTTCAGAAAGAAAATGAATATTTTTTATTTACCTGATGGCAATAACTGCATTAAAATATATTCCATACATTTTATTACAATCTCTTTATTAAACGGCCTTTTTACAGTTAAAATTCACGGTAACAGTTAATTTCGGTCTTGAAAAACTCATCGAAAATGTATTCTTAAAATGTGTTTATGACGATTATACGTAGTCACTCAATATCGAGTCAGTCAATAAAATTGTGAGCAGGTAATGGTTTCGATACTTTCAGAATACTGATATGAGCAGTATTGCAAGATGATTCGGTTACTACTCATTTGAGTAAGTATCGATACTTTCTCAGTATCGTTCGTCCCTAATTGGGTCTCCTTACAGGACAAATCATTCATACAGGAAGAGTAGGTTACACCGTTTAAGCCGTTGAATAAGAGGAAAACCTAGTTTAAACAATTGTTTAACAATTTATTTCTTATTTTCCTTCAAGGCAAATAACTTTCATTCCGGAAGAGAAATTTCCTTAATTAAACCCATGGGATCTACTTACCTACGCACTATTCTATTTTATAAGTTGTTCAAAATCATGTCCATTTTCCTGTAAACAATAGTAAAGTCTGTTTTCGAACTCCTCTCTAACATTTCGGAAAACTTTGCCGGTATTTGACCGGCATTCTGCTGCAATTGGCCTTTTAAGATGATCAATATCAGCAGGTTGTGCTTTATAAACAATGAACTGAAGATGTATCCAAAGTCCGAATAGCTGAGTAACCGCACTACACGATAGTGAAATAATTCCATCTTATTACTAATGATTAAGAGTATTTTGTTGTGAATCCGCTTCTATTTGCAAAACGTTAAGAAGACATTATTTTCCCCAAAAATCGCCAAAAGATCACCAGTTTCAAGTCATGGCTTGAAGACAATGCAAGAAGCTCGAAAGCTTCTTGCATTGTCGTGACCTTTTAATGATCGTTAGCTGTCACCATTTAGATGACCGCCATCTGGAACAATTCTACCAAAGATGAAAAATCTGATGACAGAAAAATGATCAGTCATTTGAAAACACTAGATTCGCAAAATTTCGATGACCGAACACTTTTGGAATAGAACTTACACAAGTTTACCTTTATTTTTAAAACTTTATAAGAAAATAATCAAAGTTGGGCTTTGATTTGCTTTTGGACTGTGTGCTTAATTTCATTTTGATAATTCGTTGTATTAACTTGGTATTAATAGTTATATTATATATATATTAGGAATACAACTCAAATTAAATAACACATATTTCCTTACAGGAAAAATTCATTATTTTTGGGAGTGCAATTGGTGTAAAGTGTAAATCTCAAATATATCAAAATCAAAGTTAGAGTTGGGCAGATAGGATTTTAAAGTGAAATACATTTAGAATTTGGAGTCGAATTCCAAAAGAAGTAGAATAATATACCGGGTGTTTTATTTAATATAAGCAAGTACAAGCTACTTTTGGAATAACCGCAAGTGTAGTACAAGAATTCATGTGCCTGTCAGTAGAAACCTGATAATATAGTCATCTAACGGTTTTAGTACATGAATTGTCTAAAATAGTAGACAAAATTTACATACTTTATCGGGGTGTAATATGGGATGCATTCGATTTAAAATAACTAAATATTGTATTTATTTGCATAATTAATATATAAAAATAACATTTAAACTATATGCTCAAATAAAATATGGAATATGGAAAATAAAGTGTAATTCAATATAATAGTATCACATCAATGAAAATGTGTAAAAATAATACATATGTGCTACTTGCTAAAATATTTACGTTAAATAATGCCTTCATTTTTTAATTTTCTTACATGAACATTTGTGATAAAAAATTAGCCGACGTCAACAAATGATATTTGTTTCCGATGCATTAAAACTTGCCACTGCTTTGCTGACCATCTATCTATCCCGTAGCTACTAGTGCTTTCAAAAACAAAGTGTTGCGTAATTTGGAATCCACACATTATTAAAGGCATAATTTACTGTAAATGAGACATTGTGTCTTGTGAACAACCCATCTCAACTTGAACTTTATTTTCACGTTAATTGAGTAACTTCACTCTATCTACTAAATTATGAAGTAAATATTAACCAATCAAGCAATTATAACAAATATAACAGTAAAATTAAAAACATAAGCAGGGTGCAAACACTTTTGTGTATGATTTCCTCTTTTAATTATAAAAACGTTAAAAAATATTTCAAACACGTGAATTCACCAACAACGACTAACAAATAACATTGGTTACGTATACTTTCTAAATGTAAATTTCCTTATTTTAACCACACTGTATATTTTATATCTTAACTAAATGGCAACGTATGTATACAAATAACCAGTAACACAAACATGGTATAGAAGTGTGGATGTCAATGTAAGTATCTCCTGGTACATAACTTTTACAATGCCAAAACCTTTACAGCATGAAATGCATTTTCAAAATATTGAACCTTTCCATAGTTTATATGCAACTTACAGTTGATATAGCAATAAACAAATAAGATGAAAAATTATACGTGGTGTTTCAAGCAAAGGAGCATTATTTTAATCACTTATTTCACAAACGAAAAGAAATCCAGTTTCTTAAGCAAACGATACCTCAAAAGTTCAGTACGAGTACATAAGGTGTTGACAAAATAGGTATTCTCGAAACCACCCGAAAATATTTTAGTCAATTTTTGCCGTATATTGTTGAGAAATTAGTAGTTTTAATTATTACAATTATTGCTTCAATACCTATTAGATTCACTGTCAAATAAGGCTAGGTGCACGATAAAATTAATATAGATTTAATAGTAGGGCATACATAGCTCTTCTAGTGGCTAACAAAAATGCAAAATTTATAACTGTTCCTATTTTATTGAACATTGCAAATGAACTATTGCATGTGCATCCCGTCTTGTATGTATCGACATTGACCAATTGGCCTACCCATTGATGAAACGTCTCATTGAATCCACTGTTAAAAACACTTTTGCTAATTCCCTACAATTAACTCACTAGTTAAGCATAATGATGTTATATTCGGGCATGGAATAGGAACGAATTTTAAATAATGTCCCCTACCCATGAAATGTCTAGTACAAGATGTAAATCGGCTGATTAGTTTGAATAGCAATAAATAGCCCAATATTTCTCTCCACGGCAATATTTTTGTTTTTGGGTTTTCCACTATTCATTTTTGGGTTTTCAATATTTCTAATAACGTATACGTCACATTCGTTTTTCCATTAGCTATAGCAACTTGCAATAATGTGTTTCCTTGATCATTACGAGCATTTGTAATAGCTAGTAGGTCATCAGATGTCACTGATCTTAGTTTGTTAATGGATTCTACATTACCACTTACGATCTCCTGGAATAATTCTGCTATTATTGTTAGCAGGTTAGTGATGGTTTGATCCTTCGAAATATTAATAGGCGTTTCACCTGCTCTGTTTTCAATTTTATAAGCGGCACCATGTTTCAATAATGATCGGACTAATTCTCCGAAGCCAGCTTTAGCTGCAACATGCAGTGCCGTGCTACCACTATAAGCAGTTTTAGCATTAACAAAGTTATTTAATTTTTTAGGCTTTACATGTTGTAACAAAAGTTCAGCGATTTCCTTATTACCTTTAGAAGTAGCTGTATGGAGAGGAGTATTACCTTTGTTAGTAACTTCAGTGACACTAGCACCATTTTTTATTAAGAGGTTTACAATATCTATGTGTCCAGCGCTAATTGCGAAATGTAACGGTGTTCTTCCATCAGAATTAGCCCCATCTTTTAGAAGAAGCTGAACAGTTTGTAAATCACCTCGACTAGCAGCAACGTTGATGTCTTTTTGAAGATGTAGTAGAACGTCAGATGATTTGACACCCAAATAACGTAGTTTTACATTAATCGCTTCGATCTTTTGTAAAATATCTGAAACAGCCGGATAAGTCGCTCCAAACACAACTTTTATTTGATCAACGCATTCTGTGTATGCTTTAAGAGCTAGTGTCAATTTGCCTTGAGCAAAAAATATGTTTCCTAAGGCATATTGACTATTCAAGACTTGTGGATGGTTTGGTGGTAACTCTGATTTCTGGATATTTAAGACCTTTTGTGCTGTTTGCAAGGCCTCGGTATATTTATGCTGTGCAAAGAGTGCCGTGGATATGCTACTCAACGTTCTCAATGTATCACTGTGATTAATACCTAAAATAGTTTCTTTCTTTTTAAGCACTTGTTGAAAGATTTCCAAAGCTTCTTTAGATTTATGTTGACTTACTAAAACCACTGCTATATTATTTTGGGCAGAAATTGTGTTTATATCATATGGGCCAAGAGATTCTTTCCTAGCTTTATAAACTGCCTTGTTTATACATAAAGCTTCATGAAAATGTCCCAGGCGGTTTAATACCAATGCCATGTGAAACTTAGTATTTACGGTCTCTGTATTGTTTGAGCCTAGTACTTCTCTTTGTTCCTCATATACTTCTCGAAAAATTATTAAAGCTTCTTCATATTTGCCTTGCCTATGTAGAACTAAAGCGATATTACTTCTCGTTTCTAAAGTAGTGGGATTATGCAAACCTAACATGTCTTGTAATTTCTGATAATTATCTATAAAAATCTTTAAAGCGTCTTGGTAATGTCCTTGTTTATATAAAGTAAGGGCTATATATCTTTGAATATCTAGCGTGCTTGGATTGTCTGGTCCAAATATCTCTTTACGACGTTCCAATGCACTTCTGAACATTTTTAACGCTCGTTGGTAATTTCCTAGCTCCAAAAGTTTATAAGCCTCATGAATTTGAGCGGATACATCAACTTGAAATATTTGCTTCAATTCCGCGACTTTGGAAAATTTGCTCTGAATTCCAACTACCACCAAAGTTTTGTTCTCCTTATTACGAGCGCCCATCACTGATTTTACCTTGTCAATATGCTTTATTTTGTTCAAGTCCTTAATGACCACTGTTTTACGAGCTTCAACCTTTTCAAAGCAATCACTGATTAATTTAAGTAAACTAGTAATATCTGCATCTACACTGAGGTCTGATGGTGTTTTCCCGCTGGCAGACACTGCATTATATATTGCGCCATAGGACAGTAGAGTTTTTACAATTTCTAAATGTGAGAATTTGACGGCATAATGCAATGAAGTAAAATTCTTCTCATCGACCATATTACTGTTGGCTTTATTCCGTAATAGAATTTTTACAACGTCATGATAGCCTTTCCAGGTAGCATAATGTAATGGCGTCAAGTTGTTCGCATTTTTTGAATTAATTACTGCCCCTGATCTAATGTGAGTTTCAACATCTAAAGATATATTACGTTTGACAGAGTTAAACAATTGATCAATTAACCCTAATAGGTAGATAACATCTTGATTCCTTGCAATGTCCAATGGTCTCAGACAACTGCTAGTAACAGCATTATAGATTGCACCATTTTGTAATAAAACTTGAATAACGTCTTTATAACCATTTTCAGCAGCTAGATGCAAAGGCGTACAGCAATTTAAATCCTTAGCGTTAATGTTCGCACCTTGCATTATTAAAAATTTCACAACATTTAACTGACCTGTCATTGCAGCATAGTGTATTACTGTCTGATTAGCTGCACCAAGCTCATTAACACTTAATCCCTTGCTAAGAAAATATTTCACAGTGGCCTCATGGCCTTCCCTGGCCGCAATATGTATTGGCTTTGAACCTGCATTATTTCTAGCATCAATGCTACATCCTTTATCTACTAAATAGCTTGCCACTTCTAAGTTGCCTTCTTGTGAAGCAATGTGAAGTAACGTAAAATCATCATTGCCTTTAGAGTTCATATCTACCGGTTTGTGCCCCATTAACAATCTCACCACTTCAAAATGATTACGTGCAACTGCTAATTCTAAAGCCGTTCTCTTTTTCTTGTCTTTATTATCAACTTTTGCTCCATTCCTTAATAGAACGGAAACAACATTGACATGGCCAAAAGCAGCAGCTCTGTGTAATGGAGCGCCTTCCATGTTTACAAAGTTAACGTTGGCACGGTTTGCTATTAAAACTTCAGCAACGTATTCGTGGCCTTCTGATGCTGCAATATATAATGGTGTTAATCCATGGTTATCCCTAGCGTCAGCATTGGCACCCTTTGCCAATAGATCATTTACTATCTCTTTATGGCCTCTTTTGGCAGCCGCATGCAATACTGTAGCATTTTCACCCACGTTGAAATCAACACGGGCATTATGTTTCAGCAATAGCTTCACAAGATCTTTATAACCAGCCAGCACTGCCATCAATAAAGCTGCTCCTTGTTCTTCATTAACACTGGCTCCATTTTCGATAAGAACTGCGGCGATCTCTTTGTAATAATGTTGAATTGCAGAAACCAATGGTGTTCGGTTGTCACTCTGAAAATTAACATTGGCATAGTTAGCTATCAAAATATCGACGATTTCTTTATGGCCAGCTTCAACAGCCAAGAGTAACGGCGTCCCACCTGCAGAATCTCTCACGTTAACATTGACTTTATTTCTTATTAAAAGGATCACAATATCTTTGTGGCCTCCTGCAATAGCCGCATGCAAAGGTGTAAAACCATACTTGGCCGCGGTGTCAACTTTAGCTTTATTTTCGATTAAAAAAGCAGTAACATCTTTATGTCCTCTTCTAGCTGCGAAATGCAATGGAGTCGTGCCATTATTAGATCTCACATCAACTTCAGCTTTGTTTTTAATTAAAAGAGCAGTGATATCATTGCTACCGTGTGATACAGCTGCGTGTAGTGGTGTATTGCCAACCCAATCTCGACCACTAATTTGAGCATTATTCTTAAGTAAAAGTTCGACAAACTCCTTGTGACCTTGCAGAGCAGCAATATGTAATGGTGTTGCACTATAAATGGTTTTATCATTTACAGCTAATCCATTTTGTATTAAAAGATGAGCAACAGTCGTATGACCATTTTCTGCTGCATAATGCAACGGTGTCCACTTACTGTTATCTTTACGGAAAATGTTAACTTTATTCTGGAGTAAAGTGGCAATTACCTTTGAGTGTCCACCCTGTGCTGCTAAATGTGCTGGAGTCACGCCTTCGTTTGTAGCAATATCAGTATTTGCCTTATTCATCAGTAAAGTTTCAACAATATTTTCATACCCGAATCGTGCGGCGTAGTGTAATGGTGTTTGATTACAAACTCTATCAACAACATTAACATTAGCTCCAGCCTTCAGTAACACATTAGCTATTTTCTCATGGCCGTTCGCTATTGCAATGTATAATGGCGTACTACCATCTATAAATCTGGAATTAACATTGGCGCCCTTCAGTATCAAAACATTCACAACTTCTAGATAGCCATTCCGTACTGCTCCATTTAATGGTGTAGCTCCTTCATCGCTTCTGCCATTAACATTTGCTCCTTTGTCTAATAAAAAAATAACTAATTCGAGAGAACCACTTTCGGCAGCTATATGTAGTGGCGTAAATCCAGACATCGCCTCATTAATATCGACAGTGTCTTCTTTTTCCAGCAAAAACTTAGCAATAGCAACATGATTGTTGTATATGGCATAGTGCAAAGGCGAAAGCCCTACACTATCTTTAGCACTAGTATTTGCATGATTTTTTACCAGAATTTCTACAATGTCGTTGTGACCATTCGCAGATGCAAAATGCAGTGGTGTTTTGTGTGCATTATCTACAACATCAACATGTATATCTGTTTCTCTAATAAAAAAATCAACAATAATTTTATTTCCATGTGTAGCAGCAATATGAAGCGGACTTTGATTATTTACATCTTTAACGTCGACACATAGTTGTTGTTCAATCACAAATTTTACGACATTAAGACTTGCCCCAGAAGCAGCAAAATGTAATGTAGTCCATGCGTTAATACTTCTAGCATTAATATCTGCTCCTTTTTGAAGATACATCTTTAGATTTTCCAGATTACCTTTCTTCGCTGCATCAAACATTTTTTCTTGAACAGTAAGAGCCGTAAGATCTTTTTCATAATTATCCTTCAGTTTAGGAAGATTCTCTATGAACAATTTGTCAATATTTTTCTTACTTTCTTTTACGCCTTCTAAAATCAGTTTTTTAGCGTTTAGAATAAGCAATATTGTGGGATCAGATAACAATACATCTACTATGGTGTTGTAGTGTGCCAAATGATCACGCAACCATTTTCCAGTTAATAAAGGAACAATATTGTCTAAAAAATGTTGTTTGGTCTTTCGCTGCTTTTTGGAATTATCTGGCATGATTGACAATATATCTAAAAGAAGCATTTCTAATATTACTTGCAACTTTTCATTCGTCTTGTACTGGGAAATTGTTTCAATTAAACTGTCATCTAATGAATTATTTCTCAAAATGTTTTTAAGTTCAGATAGCTTTAGTTCAAGCTGATTATTATAATGTTCCCCTCTTGTATTAAAATTTGTAGTGTGTGAATGTTCAAAAATAAAGGACATTTTCTCATTCAACTTGCGTTTAAATTCTTCAATCCACCTTAGGTCGGTTGTTTGAAATTCAAAAACGAAAACTAGTTCACAAAATAAAATATTTACTTGATCAAGGTTGCCATGTTTTCTTGACATACAACTTTTAAAAATGTTCAATACCAAATCCGCAATTTTTTTTAGATTGTGGGACTCTAGTTCGGTGAACATATCCTGTAGTATTCCATTAGCAAAGAGTTTAACGCATCGAATATCATTTTCGGTCATTTTTTTCCATTTGAACTCAGCCAACACCTCCAATATTCCGACCACCTTAACGAAATCAGTTTTGATATTTTTCAATTTAGTGTTGGCAAAATTAATTATGCTTTCGATTTCAGTAAACAGCGCTTTCTCATAAATTGTTTTGTCAGTTATAGAATTGTTTAATTCATTGATGATTTTTTCAAGCTTATCATGCCCAATTATTTTTACACTATCTGCTAGCACCTGCCTATCTAGATCAACGTTACTAAAGATTCCAAGAACTTCCTTTATATCGGCATAGCTTTCACTGTTAACAATTTCCATTAGTAACCTTCTGATCATTCTAATTTTGTTGTTATAAAGAATATCGGTAATTACTTTGTCAATCTTTGAAATATCATTTTTAATGCCGGTGAAAAACTTATCTGGTGCATTATTTTCAATTTCTATTCTCTTAGAGAGTGAATAAGCATGTGATAATGAATTACGCAAAGACGTAATTATCTGTCGTGTATCCTTTGGCAATACTTGCAAAAGCAGTTGGCTTGTCGTGTTGGATAATTTAGGAGATTCAAGGGTGTTTTTAAAATGTTCACCGATAACTTGCAAAGTTCTTGTAACAATTAACTGTCCCTCCCTCTTCTTAGGATCAGCCGACAATGCCACGTTCACATATCTGCTAATTTTCTCTAACGATTCGATATCTCTAATTTGTTGGTAGTCGCTATACAGCTCTTCCAATTGAGGACAAGTGCTAACAATCTTCGCTACCGCTTTCTCACGTTTTAAGTTTGGCAAAATATGAAATGTCCCTATATTTATATCTTTCAAATTATCTTTTGCTTCTTCAAGTATCTTTGAAAACGTTTTCATGTAGGCTAGAATTTTGTTTTTATTCAATATGGCATTATAGAACAGATTAATTTCTTTTTGTTTCATATGAGAAGAGACAAAACCAACTATGCAAAATTCCATTTCTTCCCAAGGCAAGATATTATAAGTTGACTTCAACCGACGTTTCAATATGTGAATGTTTTGAGCAATAAATTTTGCAATAAATAAAAACTTTTCATCTACTTTTTCTCCGTTTGCGTAATATTTGTTTAATAAGGACATGTTTTGAAGTACTAACTCAATACGCTCTCCGATTTGAATAAATAGATTTTCGACATTTTCGTCTTGCTGAGGATCCTCACAAAAAAACCTAAGGTTTATTAGCTCCTCTTCGACAAAAAGTTGTATTTTTTCTGATAATGGCACGTTTTTTAGTTTCAAATCAGCATATGCTCTTGAAAGCAGTTCATCTAATTTGCGGGTATGAATAGCGAAATAATTGCCTGGCCATTTACTAATGAGCGTCTCAAGGAGCTCAACACTTCCTGAACGAACAGCATAATAAAATGCATTGTGACATGTTTCATCCTCATCATCTGGTAATATAGTAGTTCCTCTGATAGATAAATGACAAGGGGTTTTATCACAATTCCCAAGTAGACGCTCTAAAGTTTTTACCTTATTTTGCTTACAAGCTAAGATAACTGGGTTCGTGCCCGTAACAGGGTTGTTCGCATTATCACGATATTTCAAAGTGGCCCGATGTTCTGCATGACTGATGTAATCAATGCTGCTGCACTTTTTAGAGCCAGTTAGACCATCATTTGATTTGTCAGCCATGATCTCATCACAAAATGTAATAGCATTGACGTCGCACTTGCTAATTTTCTAAAACAAACACTTTCATTTAGTATTTTCTAAGTAAAACTACCTACTATAAAAACTATAAATTAGAAAAACAATATTTTAATCGAATGAATCGGAAACTGCCATTTTACGATCAGGCCCAATGATTATTAAGAAGCACTTTTCTGGAGTTTTCATTTGTTTTACTTTTACACATGGATTTTCACGCACAGACTGATGACGATTTGTCAAAGTATGTTGGAGTTGAATAGGAATTATTTTTTTGCAGTTCAGAAGATGTTTTAATTAATAATAAGCAGTTTTAATCTTAATTATAATTTGAATTCGCTATACATTTAAAAAAACTTTTATGAAGACTGAAGAATAATGCTTACTTTATATTTGAGATTTGTCCCAATCAATCGTTAAGTTTGCCTTGTATGTATAATTTCTTTAAGCCGCCGAGGTCTGGTGATAACACGATCGCTTGAGCTGCAGTATTGAATTGACCCATTGTTCTGCTGCCTCGACTTTGGCTGATGCTTTTGGCTTCAGTCATATTTAAATTTTGTAGCCACTAACTTGTTTTTATTTTGTTCAATAAATATTTTACATCGAAATAGCGGAAAGACTTTCCTTTAACAAACAACGACCAAGTTCAATCTGCGATAAATTCAATCCTAACTACGGTTAAACCAAATTTCGAGAAGCCATTTTTTGAACCACTCACAATCCGTAAAGATTTGCTACTCGCGTATGCTTCAAGAACCTTATGCGATACAGCTTAAGGATAAAGCTACAAGCTTTAGAATAAAAATTAACCATCTCCAAGAAAGTGTCATATTGCATAACACATGCAATGCAATTTCTTCTTATTCTTCAAATAAAGATATGCCTGTAGTACATCACAGAATTGATACTTTTAACTAGCAATTATTAGATAGGTCTCATAAAAGCACAGTCACCGACAATTTTTTTTGTTTTTAATTATTTTGAAGAACTTTTCTAAATTTCTTGAAAAAATATATGTACTACTTTTATCCTTTAATCGAAATATGTTCAAAATTAATTACAGAAATATGAGACTATTAATATCGTGGGAAACTATCCATCAACGTGGTATTAATCAAATTATTCGACGAATTAACGAAAACTACAATTTGCAAGTAGAAAATTGCATTAAATCTTGTGAAACTTGTCAATAAGTAGAATTTAATAGGAAATACTGAATCGAGCCACTTCTTACAACCGACACACCCAAAACTACTTTCGACAAAATTAATATCGATCTTACTGAATATCATATTCAAAATTATGCTTCAACAATTAGAGATGAACTTGTGATAAAACTGCAAAACGAAGCATATTTAAGTTGATGCGATTATTTGTTCTAACAAAACGACGAACAAAACAAACTGGTTGTTCGCATATAAACTCATCTTTAGTCATACTTCTTCTATAGAACCAGAAAGAATTTATGATAAATGGCTCAATATCAAAATGCATATGTAACATGAACTAAAACAAAACTGCAGAAATGAAATGTAAACAAATATTTATAAAAAAATTTTATGTTAAATGTTAATGTAATTTAATTTAAGTCAATCAAATTGTTATTGGTGATAACTTTACATTACATTTACATTAAAGATTCACAAATTGAAAAAAGTTCTGAATAAATTTAACGGACCTTTTGAAATCCGCAAAATTTACAAAAAATGTGGAACAGTAATAAACCTAAGAACTGAACAAAAATCAAAAGTTAAGTTTGACAGAATAAAACCCCGAGTCACAAGTATGATCCTATTCAGAAAACTGGGAGAAATCCTTCATTCATGTGCATAAGAATATTTTTTTTCGAATGTATCTAAAAGTGCCATTTCTCGATCAGCGATGTAGCGATGATAAAAAAAGCACCTTTCTTTACTGTTCATTTGTTTTACTTTTACGCACATGTGCGCAAAATAAATATGACAAATTGGACGTGCCATTGCCACGCGTAGTATTTTCATTAAAAAGTAACCGATAGGCTTTTTTAATTAATTACAAAAGTCAAAACATGACAATTTTAAGAATGGCATTGACATCAAATTTTAAAAATTAAGTTGACGGCTTTAATTTTTGGCTATTTTCATTTATTGTAACTTTATTTCTTAATTCGAATAAAAAATATTGTTCGATACGAGGGCGAAAATCCGTTTTTCGAACTCCTGATGTTCGAAAAACGACACTTTTCGTCCTTGTATCGAAAACCAGTAGTTAAACAAATTCAATAAGAATCGAGAAAATATTAGTAAATTTAAAACTATTGTTTGAATGATTATTTTGTACAATAGCATAAGTACACCATGTCACATGATGTACTATGCATGTCGAATCGAAATCGAATATACTCTATTGTTTTGATACTATTTCATTTTTTGTTATCAGACTTCTATGTAGGTATATACAATTATATTGTATTTGCTACATTTGGATTTAATTCGTATTTTATTCAATTCTATAAGGAATTTTTCCGGCCACATGTAGACCTTAAAATTCTAAATAGAATTGGTAAAATATTGCTATTTTGCTTCTTGGGTTTATCGGTCAATAGATAGTGGCCAAAAAAATAAGGGCCTCTAAAGGCGAAAAAAATAGTGGTTTCAGAATTAAGAATAATATCAATAATCCTAGAGTCGTGAATGAAAGGTATTCACTTAGTCACTAATATTAAAGAAAATACAAAAGAAACCAACATACATTTGAAATCGAATACCTACCAATAAAGGTCAAAGAACAATAAAAAAAATTTTACAGTTATAAAAACAAACATATCATAAATAGTAATTAAACTCATTATGTGATCGATAAATCTACAGATAACAATCCAAATTATATTAATCTTCTAGAAAAATTTTTTTAAGTTCTAAAAAATTCTCAAAATGTGTTAAAATGCAAAATACTTCGTAAAAAAAGACGACGGATTCCAATAGAACTTAATAAAAAAACATTGATTATACCGCCAGGAAATATTGGTGAGATTCTATATGAATTGATTTCATCAAATTGAAATTGACACGGAAACGAAATAATAGTAGTTTTCGATACAAGGGCAAAAGGTGACGAAGTCGAGGGTGTCAATTTTTCAGGAGTTCGGAAAACGGATTTTCGCCGACGTATCTAACAATTTTTTTTATTCGAATGAAAGACATAAAACGAATTATAAGTTATAACAAACAAAAATTGCCAAAAGTACAAGGCATCAACATCAGACAAATGAAATTGTAATTTTGAGAATTTCATATTCATTCACTTACCAGGGATGGTGCAGATGAAACAGGCGGGGTCAGATCAATTCCGACCAAATTTTCTGCTTCTGAAAGTAATATCTATTAGAATTCCACAGACGTTTTATAAAGAGAGAAGAAGAACTAATAGATATTCAAAGCACTACCAATATGCCTTAAAAATAGTTTACATCGACGATTTTGTTGTTAAAAACGTGAACAAGCCTTCTTAAAACCCACCACATAAATATATTTCCAATAAAACTTTTGTTGTTTGTGCGATTATTTGATTTTAGGTTAGTGGACTGTAAACATTTTTTTTAATCAAAATTAAGGAACTTGGACCTTGATACCCGATTAAATAGCCATTTAGATAACAACCCCCTATATATAAATGCCGCTACCCAGCAGACAGACTTAATTTTCATTTATAAGCAGATTGTTGCTGCTATTATATCATAAACACTCACTTTGTAAATTGTTTTAAAAAGTTGATTTTAATACCAACTTATTTAATTTCAATATATTTTATCACTCAAACTCGGATTTTACACGTATTTCTGTAAAACTAATTAAATAAAAATTTAGATCAAAATAAAATGTGGACAACGTATTTCATAAACGAAATGAAAAGCAATACCTTTATTGAAATACATATTTTAAATGAATAAAAATGTTAAAATGTTTACATTAAACTCTTTCTTAGTGACTTTTTTGGTATTGAACTTGTTTGTTTCGATTTTTCCAAACATATAGACATTCAGTCAGAGATTAAGCCCTTCGAGCACAAAAGAACATAGTCATCTTCCGATTTTATTTGAATGCAGGAAGATAATCCATATTTTCAACATTCTGGACAAACAAAATTATGTAGGTATGTACAGTTTGGCCTGCCTCATTCGAGAGCTTATCCCATGCGCAAATTAATATGTACCTACTTCTAAGCTAATTTAATTTTAATTTAAATTTAATATGTACCTACTTCTAAGCTAATTTAATTTTTAATAATTTAAAGCTAAGAAAAATATTAACATTGTCACACGACTCGGTGAAAATAAATAGGTTGATTCAATTCAAATAAACGACAAATTTGAGCCGGCTAAATTGTGCGTAAAATTTAATTTTTGTTAAATAAAAAATAAAGTTCTTTTAGTAATGTCATAATTTATGCAACGTGAATAATAACCCATCTTACAATTTTTTGAGTTTTTCCGAAGTTTCACATTTTTTCACTTTGAATTAATTGGTTGAGTTTTCCCGTATTTTGCCTTATTGAAACTTATTTAATTTTTTCAGTAGAATTTAAAAATATATGAATAGGTTTCCGGTGTTGTTTAAAAAAACATGAGCCTGATAGGTAACTTTACGGAAACTATACAGAGTGCCCCACCGGGAACGCCGCGATCGATATCTGGCAAACTATAATTAGGAGAAATTTGAAAATTGGCAGACTTGCCGAAGTCATTAAGGGTAAGCCATCTAAACGATTTCCGAGATAGCCACACTTCCGGTTATACCGGAAGCACTTGCTCTTTTTAAATAAAACACCTTTATGTATTATTACATTTTTAAATTCCACTCCAGATTCTAAATATATTTCATATATAACATTCTATACCTAAGTTTAACCGTTTAAGATATATTTGAAATTTTATGTAAAAAATGACAGTTGCAGCCAATCGAATAATTATTCATTTTTCTTATAAGGAAATATGTTATACTTAATTTGAGCCGCAGTTCTGATTGAAAAAGACTTACTTTAGTTGAATTTCGACAACATTTTAAAAACTATTAATACGAAGTGATTAAAACAATAAGTTCCTTTTTGATTATTTTATTTTATTCAGTATTAAAAATAAGGGTAAGTTTGTGTAAAGTTGTCTATTCCAAAAGTGTTGTCAATTAAACATTTTGATATGGCCATTTTAGCGCATCTTATTTTAAATACTGTCTCTCTTTGTTGCCATGGCGAAAGTCGCCATCTTCAATCAAATGCCAAAGGAATACTTCCATACTGAATGCCAAAGGAATCAAAATTGGATTAAAAATACCTATTCGTTTTCCCGTAAAATAAAGTTTTGAACAAGTTGGGTCACCTTGTACGTATCAAAAATATACGTGTAAGCTTTAAACAGGATGTTGAACATTCCATTATAATCAATCAATTTAAATTCGAATATGCAACAAAAGCACATTTTAGGATTATTATCTTCAATAACTGAGTCTTATCCAAACGATAACAGTATTGATAGAACAACACTTTTGTGCTGCTTTTGTTTTAAAACGAATCCGATTTCAATATTAACTTTCAAGCAGGACCTACACTTGATAACATATAGCATAACATCGTCATATAACAATGTTATATGCTAGATGTTGAAATAACAGGTTCGTCCACACTTTTACAAAGGATGGATAGCATGTAGCAAGTTATATAGCAGGAAAATTTTCTATATTTTATTATAAAATATCTAACATGCTAGATAACTTGGCTACAAAGCAGCGTTATATAGCAAGTGTGGATCCGGCTTAAGAAACACAAGTGGGAGTATCGTTTAAGATTCGCCTAATTCGCAATACCATTTAGGGACCGTGCCTAAATTACGCAAGAAAGCTATTAGGGGTGAGGAGTTGATACATTTTCTTATCGCGGTATTACATGGAGAGCTGGTGTAAATACATACCTTACGTAAGATTTTTATAGTCCATACTAGAAATATACAAAAATTCAGCAATAATATTATTGATGACTTTATGATGGCCTGTGATAGAATCCCTTCCAGCCTGGTTAACCAACCCTTGGATAGAAGATTAAAATAATTTAGATCAAATATCAAACATATTAGATAATTTTCAAATTAGATGTTAAAACAGGGTGGCCAAAGTTCAATCAATAACCCTGTATCTAGTTAAACACTGCGCGCTCTCCGCCTTCTATCTCTAAAACGGTTTAAAGTATAAAAAAATGTTTGAAATAAAAGTTGTAGAGAATTTAAAACACTAAAATATTTATAATAAATTGAAATACCGTAAAACTTACCGGAACCGACAGATTTGCAAAAAATGCGCGATTTTTTTTTACTTTACGACTACAGTCGCGTCCACACTATCATAACAATGTTTTGAGAAGTTTTTAGATGTTAAAATAAAGGTTTATACGAGTTTACAGCTTGTTATCTTGAATTCCGAGATTGTTACCCTATTTTGACTTATAAAAGTTTGTTTGTAAGTGGTACTTACAGATTTCTCGGTAAACTGCAAATAGTATCCACTGCACTAGTTCAATATTTTGACCCGTTGATTCACAAGAAACTTTGCGGATCCTATTAAACGTTCAAACCGGTGTCTGAAACAAAAATAAGCGCTGCTCAAACGCCTTCTTGTTCATAAAGCACACAGAGCAACCGGGAACCAGGGTGACCAACTTTTCAAACGCGTACGAAATTACCTGACGAATGGCCACCCTGCGGGGAACTACCCGAATCGAAATCTCACAAGGTTGTCATTATCTTGCCGATCTTGTCGGTAACATTTCTTCCAACCAAACGGTACATGTCTAATATTGCGCAATGTTAGGCAAATTTTTCGCCTTAGTGTTCGTCTCCTATCAATTAAATTCGTAAGAAGTTGGGGTTGTTATTATCCAGTGATTTACCAGTTTTTCGATGGTCGCCGTGAACAAAACAGGTTTCTCAGCAAAATTCCCAAAAAGAGAACATCTCCAATTATGGAGCAGAATAGACTTTTTCATGCTAAGTTAGATTCTCTCGGACTTTTGTTCGATTTTTATGAAACTTTGAGTCTTGTCAGCTGGATATGTTGTGTAGTCATAGTTAGATCCAATTCAGCTCCGACGGAATACGCAACTTGCATTTCACACGAGCATTTTGGTCAATTTTGAGTCATAGTCAATTTTTATGAAACAGCTGGATGAGTCGTGTAAAATTGATCTAAAGAGAAGATTATTGGATCTGCACGTCTCATTTATAGCGGTGGAATCAGTGGCTTTATTTTTGTAAGAGTTCCCGGATTAGCTGTTTGGCGATTTTTTTTAGAGCTTCAATGGCAGAAGAGCGCTTAACTGGACTGGCACTTCTCCACGTTCACAAAACCATACCGATTGATAGAAGTGGAGGAAGTCATAACTCGTTTTGCGAGAAGACAATAGAAGAAAATTGATTTTGATATGATTAAAATTACTACGACATATAAAAATACAATATATTTTTAATTACATTTATTATGGCAATTGAATTGAAGCCTGCCCTGACTGAATCTCTTCTACAGGACTCACCCCCTGACTTGAAATCCGACCAATCAGTCTTTATCTATTGCCGAATCCGCCCTTTTCCTTGGTTTCGGCAGCTATGCTGCCATCAGAAGCCTTGTTGTATGGTTGTATGGCTACCATCTTCGAATGAAGATTAAAACTTAATTTTAGAAGGAAATTAAAAAGATATTGGAGACTCAGGCGCAACTACAGGCTAGGTAATAAACAATTTGTATTCCTCGACTCTGCCTCGATCTAAAACCCCCCCAACAGTACCTGCGAGGTTGTTTTTTTCTTTCAGAAACTGTCGGATAAGAAAAATTCGTCTGTAAGAAGTAAATGAACTTTGACACACTAGTTGAAGCCACCCTGTATATTCGTGAGAGCATTTAAATAGTAATAAAGAGCTAATAAATAAATAACACATGCCAAGAAAATAAACGAAACAGAAAAACGTACAAACTATGGATAAATCTTCAAACTAAGGGCCTACTCACTAGTGTACCTTAGAGTCTGGTGGTCGTATAATATTAATAATTCGGGATTTTATTAAATACTGAGATGTTCGTGCTGGATCGGCCAAGGCACATCTTCGGAGTATCACCAATGTCGATATTGTTCTGTATTAATGTATTATCAGAGATTAGGAGAATATCTACAGTACTAATATCTGGTATTATCAACTTATTGCAAGATTGACACACAATTTCAAAAATTGTCCTGAATGTTTCTGTTCTGAGTTTAATATTTCGCGATCGTATCCAGGGTAATAGAGATAATGAATTAAGTGAAGATCATAGATAAAGACAAGTAGACAAGCTGGTGAGGGTGAAGATCTAGTTCGTCACAATCACAATTCACTGAAATGAAGCCATAACCAGTTTTTACTTGATATGCGTGTTTCGTTTCTATAGCGTCTGTAATCTGTGTTCCTTCATTACTTTGACGGCAAGCTTGTCACTAGTCAAATCAATTGACTGTTTTGCTATTCTGCCGGTAAACCAAAGAATTTTCATACGTAAACCATATTTTCTTACAAGATGCCCAAGAAATCCAAAAGAGCAGATACCTCCGACTCAGATTCTGGTCCAGAGGACGTAAGTTTGTTTCTGTGTATACCCTTTAAAAGTAAAAACATTTGAACATTTCGTAAACTTGCATTTGTTATTATTTATAACAATTGTTTAAAGTAGGTTCTCTGTAGCCCCTTTAATATGCGTTATGTGGATTACATGATTTAAATATTTAACATTGTGTATTTCTCGATTAATTTTGGGCGCTGAGAAATGTTATGGTTTTATTCAATATATCGTGTACTATATATAAGGTGTCCCACTGGGAACCTCCGCGATCGAAATCTGACAAACTATCATTAGGAGAAATTTGAGAATTGAACAGTGTGCCGAGATGATTGGGGGCAAGTGATCTAAAATATTTTCAAGATGGCCACACTTGCTCATTTTAAATAGAGAGTATTATTGCATTTTTGAATTCTACTCCAGATTCTAAATATATTTCATATATAACATCCTATACCTAAGTATAGCCGTTTTTGTTATATTTGAAATTTTATGTAAAAAATGACAGCAATCGAATAATTATGCAATTTTCCTATAAGGAAATATGTTATACTTAATTTTTTTAAATTTTATGTTATTCAGTATTCAAAATAAAGGTAAGTTTGTCAATTGGTAGATTTGTAAGTTGTCAATTTAATGTTCTTATATGGCTATTTTGCCCTCATCTCATTTTAAATACGAAATGACGAAAGTGGCCATTTTTAAGACAAAGACCAAAAAATTCTGACAGCTGTCAGTTACCTTTGAAAATAATTAATAAACATGCGCAGACGCTTAAATTAGACAAACCGAGATTATGTATGTATGAAGAATGTAGCTTTTTTTTCAGAGGGAACCAATTAAGAAAAAAGTGAAATCTGATAACAGTTTCCGTACTGAAGATAGTGAGCCTACTTGGGATCTGGGTAAAAACCGATTTGTAAAAATCAGTGACTTCAAAGGTAAAGTCTATGTCAACATTAGAGAATTCTATAACGCGGACGGTGACTTGCGTCCCGGGAAAAAGGGAATTATGCTCACAGGCGAGCAGTGGCAGAGGTTCAAAGCCTCAGTAAACGAAATTGATGAAGA